GGATATAACAAAAACATTTTCTTCCTAACTCTTTACCCAATGTTCCATTTATTTGAAACTCTCAATTGAAAACATAGCGGTTTACATCTGTAATAGGATGTAAACCAACTAATAATAAGACACTCGATAGTGTTGAACATCAGAACACAAAGATTGGATGCAACTTCGCCATTGCAGATGATTTTGAGCCATGTCATTCAAGGTCTCTAACCATCGATTGCTATCACCTAGCGTATCCCAACCAGGTTGTCTACACCTGCCAACATGGCTCAGTCCAATTGTCAGTAACTTCATGGGTTTGTGCCACGTTTCGGTATGGCCGCCCCTAGATTTCTTCATACGTACTCCTACACCATAGAACATTGCACGTCGGGGCAGTCGGTGGTTAGGCATATGCAACACGTGTCCCAGCAATCTCAACTGATGCAGTTTCACTACTTCACTTACATCAAGAATATAAATTACAACAATCTATGGATTAGAAAGAAAAGTAACAAATATATTAGTATTCTAATTCATTAGAATATCTCATCGAGTCGAGTATGTAAATAGCGTTCTGTCAATCAATCACTGATTTCAATACTGATACACAGACTTCCTATAGGTTTGTTCTCAAGCCAGATACTACAGTGAGGAAACCATATTCGTTGTAAGAAGTTTCATTGGTCAACCAAATCGTCGAATATGTTTACAATGATTCATATGTATTTATCTTGTCACTCAGAGGGTCAAGTCAAATATTCAACCAATGGCAAGTAGTTTATTTCCTAAAAGTGAAAGCCCTTTGCGTGCGCATATAACTTTATTGATATTTCATTCACCCACTATATCAAGTGATTACTATTATCCAGTCAAGTAGAAGGATTTACATCATATAGAAGGTAGACGCGATTTCCGTTGGATGATATAATAGATAATGGCATGACAATACTATACTTTTTTGATAAATATTACACTTGGAAATGCCACTAAACTCACTCTTGATCTGTACTAACTAGCATAGCATTATTTACTTAGTTTGATGACTTCGGGAAAATGTAAAGGACGTAAGTAATATACAACACTGATCAGGAATAGAATGTCTAGTAGTAAAAGTTCGAGAAGATTAAGGATTAAAGAACCGGAACCAAAAGAAGGAACAATGAAGTCTCAGACCATTGTTTGACATTTTGTAAATAAAGTATTTTCTGTATGGTTCTGAGATTTTGCTAAGACGTTCTGCAATTTTATGTTCATATACAGTAGATTGTTCCCGCTTCTGTTCTACTTCACTACAATATATCTGATGTCTTCTAGTTATTAAGTAGATGGATGGAGTGAAAGATATATCTGAGTCTTATGAAATAGAATCAACAATCTTCTTATCTAATCACAAAACTGTTCAAATGAAATACAACACACACTGATGTTGATGAAAGGGGACAAGTAAGAGAGTGATTGAGAAGGGGAATCCATAATGATTATGATCTTATACATAGTAGACCAATAGCTCATGTTTGTATCACATTTTGATCGTGATTGTTATCATGAGTTTGTTATCATTTATTGTTACTTTTAAATGAACCTTGATCTGATATGCGAATATGGACTATTTTGAAAAGTACAAACCTGAATCTTCTTATTTGTAACAACTTCAATACATATTAGACGGAAACAAAGTATTCATTACAACTCCATATAATGAACGAGTCTATATTGGATCTGACTAGTAAGTGAGATCAGTTCACTCAACATTACAGAAAAGCGTCAGTCATCCGTGTCACTAATGTATAAATTCCTTGTCGTCGATTTCCATCGCGTTTTCACTTACCTACGGAATCTTGATAGCCACCTGCCTGTGAAATGGAGTGACGTTTAAATTCATTTGGTGTTGTTTAGTTGTATCTTCTCATTGTAATATAGAACTGCGATTTATCAGTGTCTTGTTAGCATATCTGTATCCTTTGAGGACGTCCTGGATATTGCCTGAAGTCACATGAGCCTGTTCAATTGCAGTCCTAAATAACAATGGGAAGATACAAGTAAACAACATCAAGTGAATTTAGTTTTCAATAGGTTATTGAAATAATTGATATTCATATATACGTGAGCAATGTGCTACTGTTGTTGACAGCTGTAAGTAGTATGTAGTGTCGACCGAAAGTGAAATGCCTGACAGCAGAAGGTTGAAAACGCGAGGAAAGAAAGAACGAGAACAAAAAATGATTGGCGTATAATCGAAAAAACAATGAAGACTGAGACAAGTGATTGACATTTTGTAAAATGAACAGTCAAGTATCAGACAATTGATTGACATTTTGTGAATGAAGTATTTATTGTATGGTCCTCAGATACGCTCGACAGTCCACATTTGTGTTTTTCTTCACTACAGGAATAACCAGGTATATTCACTCTGTAGAAGTAGCTTGCATTAAGTCACGAAACATGAGAAGTATAAATTTTCTACTCAGTGGGATATAAAAGAAAAATATGTTTCTTGTTAACTGTCTACCCAGTGCTAAAATTATTTGAAACTCTCAAGTCAAAACATAGCGTTTGACATCTGTAATTGGATGTAAACCAACTAACAATATGACTGTAGATAATAGTGTAGTGAACGAGAACACCAGTGAGGACAACCAAATCTATGAACCATACAGTTAATATTTCATTTGCAAAATGTCAATCAATCGTCTCACACCTCATTGTTCATTATCTGTTCTCGTTCTCTTCTACTCGATCTACATAACCTTCGGCCTCCAGATATTTCACTTCCGATTGATGATGCATACTACAGATACCAACAGATATCCGTAGCACACACCACACTCAAACCCTGCCCCGGAAAGCATTTAACTAAACTCATCTGTGTTCTCGTTCGCTACAGAATATTCGTCAATGATTAGTTGAAATTTGCTGTTCACTTTACTGTTTATTGTAGACAAATCTTGGAAGTAATTGTTCCTATTGTTGAAACTATTAAATGGGAAGGAGTCAATGTCATGAAACCTGTTGATCGTCTACGTGTTGTATTAACGCACACCAAAACAGTTAAATGTACTTTATCATTGAAAGTCGTTCACAATTATAGGTGCTTATACTTGTTGCAATACAAATATCAATAAAATTTGTCATCATAATACTCTCGTCAATACCGTAAATTATTGAACCAATGTTGATATTTGTCTTTATGTAGTGGAATAGAATTAGCAAACAAAAGCCAACTTATACGGTCCATTGTAGCTGGTGTATTCCTGTACGTTTTGTCATTTATTGTCAAATTTTTCTCCGTGTTGTATTTGAGAATCTTGCTTTTTTCTTTGTTTATGTTGAGGCTTGTTGATGCACAGGCTGCAGCTACATTTGCTGTCTTCATCTGCAATTGTTCGTGTGTTTGAGATAGGGGGGCCAGGTCATCCGCGAAGTTCAATTCATCCAACTGATTCTGAGATTTCCATTTTATTCCGTGCTAAGGCACAGATGTCGAAGTCTTCATAATCCAGTCAATCACCAGCAAAAAAGAGAAAGGGTGAGAGTAGACAGCTTTGTCTGACTCCGGTCGTTATAATATACTGAAATTTATGTTTGTCAAACAATTATTCAGCTAGATAACAGAAACATAAAATTGATTGTATTCATTCGGCATTGTTTACCTGAATCTTTCCATTGAATGAATATGTAGTTTGTGGTATCGAAAGTATTTGCATATTTCCTTTGTGCAAAGCAATACAATTACTCAGTAATTATCAGCAATGCACAGTATGCGCATAAGCCAACAAGCGACTGATGGATTGCAATGGTAAACAACAATCGGAATATCCGAGTAAACTGTATCAAGTGAATTTAAACTTCAGGAAACAGGAGGAATTAATGCTTCGGATGAAATAATTAGTTTCAAATAAATTGAGCATTAGGTAGAAATTGTATTACTATTATTATATCAATGAGTAGAAAATCGTATTTCTGATCTTTCGTAACCTGATGTAAGCCACGTTTTCAGAGTATGCGAATTTCTCCAACATTGAACTGAAATCTACTCATTATTCAACAGGTTATTATGTACTTATTACTTACCTACCCACCACCATGTTGTATCTCCTTATTCCTTTTGCTATGTGACTGGACTTTCCGATTTCTCACATTTTCCGGACACTCCATGTACCTATAAAAACCGTTGCTCTAGTTGTTAGAAGGAACATCAGCCTTGTGAATTCCGAAGAATCTCGGATTTCATCATGAGGTGTAATAATTCTTTCTTAAACACGTAGGGGAGAATTTAAATGGTTGAAGTCGTTTATTTTAGTTAGAGTTTTTTTATCAAGGCTGTTTTCTATCCGACACCTGAAACTCCATCTTTGACCAGATTTGATACCAGCAGTAGCCGTAGATAAGCCACAGTCCGAGTTAAACATGTTTATGTTTGTCAAACAATTATTCAGCTGGATAACAGAAACATAAAACTGATTGAATTCATTCGGTATTGTTTACCTGAATCTTTCCATTGAATGAATATGTAGTTTGTAGTATCGAAAGTATTTGCATATTTCCTTTGTGCAAAGCAATACAATTACTCAGTAATTATCAGCAATGCACAGTATGCGCATAAGCCAACAAGCGACTGATGAATTGCAATGGTAAACAACAATGGGAATATCCGAGTAAACTGTATCAAGTGAATTTAAACTTCAGGAAACAGGAGGAATTAATGCTTCGGATGAAATAATTAGTTTCAAATAAATTGAGCATTAGGTAGAAATTGTATTACTATTATTATATCAATGAGTAGAAAATCGTATCTCTGAGTATTCGTAGCCTGATGTAAGCCAATTCTTTAGAGTATGTGAAGTCGTTTATTTTAGTTAGTGTTTTTATATCACGGCTGTTTTTTACGATATGAAGTTGTCAATCCGACACCCGAACATCCAACTTTGACCAGATTTGATACCAGCAGTCGCCGTAGATAATCTACAGTTTCAGTTAAACATGTTATGCTAAACAGTTATTTCTATTTTATTTTGTAGTTTGATTGCATTGGTCATAGCACTATTGATTCTTCTCGTGAAGAAGATCAGTGAGAAATATCCACTGAATGTCGTGTTTGTAATTATTTATGTAATAATTTCTAATGATCATTTCACATACATCTGCCTGTTTTCTTTCTAAAAATCTAATTTAATAAAACGTACTGCTTGTAGATCGTAATCCAACGTGACTGATTTTTATGTCATAGCAGAAATTTGTGAAATCGGAATCCTAACTGATTTACAGATTGATTGAAATCTTCGATTTGTCGATACAGATGTCTAAGAATTATCACTCATAGTCTATGTGTAGGGAAGAGAACGCGGATAGAGACAATGGAATGTATTCCAACTTGAAATCACATTCCATCTTCACCGATTTCATTGTTCATTCATTCTCATACAGATTGTGCTTCGTTCCTAGTCTTTCATTATTGATCTTCTGTCACTATGCATTCTATGTCTGACCATCATTATATACTACTTATATATATATAAGTAACCAATACTACAATATTACCTTTGTTGTAATTTACAGAGATCATGTTTTCGAAGAGAACACTTTCGATATATCAGTGAACTAGTTGTGTCAAATTCGAGATAGCCATTTTGAGCGGAAGAATTCATACCTTATCAGCATCAATATACAATGTAATCATATATGAATGAATATATATTCCGTCAAATTATAATTTTCCTTCTCATTTTCAGTCTATTTTCATGGCAGTAGCGATGGCAGCTTGGAGTAAAGAGTTATGTATTCTTTACAAACTTGCAATCTTTGGAATCAGTTTGGTGTTGTTCACATCTGCATTACTGATTGGTGCAGCGATTAAAGCAGATTCGGTCGATCACTTAATAAATATTCTAATATCCTTTTTGGTTATATCTGTTGTAATTGCCGTAGTCGGGGCTGTGCTCTGTGTTTTGAAATACAAGGTATCCTAATTAGCTAAATAATCTGATTCATAAATTACGTAATCATGATTGAATCTAGTTCCAAATCGTAAACTATTAACTGGAATCTAGTTCGAATCCAACATTTTTTAAACATTCGGATTCTGAGTAAAATCGATCAATAGTCGAAAGTATCATGTTAGTTGGACTTCGAAATTTCTATTGCATGCAGAAAATATGTGGGTTTTCGATCGGTATGATTAACATCATATAGTGGTAGACAAGTCAACTATATAAGAACGTCGACCAGATTAACAAGAGCAGAGATATTCATGTCAACAAAGGAAAATAATCACAAACATTGATATCATATTAAAGTGTAGAGAAGTTTGGGAAGAGAATTAAGGTCAAATCCAAGAATCATTCAGTCCGTTAGAGGTTGATTTGCAGTTTTTCGTAGTTGTATATCCTGCTGCATCACAAGCCTCGTTCTATTATGTCAGGTAGTCATCTTCAAGTGATTTAGTATGTTCACTTACGTAGTACAATTAAATATTACATCCACTCTGTAGAATGTTTTATGACCATCTCTCTTGTATAACACTGAACCAAAACGGCCTACGTGAACACACAGTCCAGTTACGATGCTAAAAAGAATAAATAAGTTTCTTATTACGTCCATGATCTGTCTATCTACATTCGCACCAACAATAACTAGTCCAATGTATATTAGGACCTTGACGTAATAGAATAACTGGCTTACCATTGAGGCTACTATGTGTGAGTTCAAAGTAGGGCAGAAAGACTCTGGAATAACATGGAAGCCAAAGTTCCTACGTGAAAACATAATCCACTTTACATAATGAAATGAATAGGTAAGCTTTTGAAGAACCTTGGTCATATTTCCGTTGTTAAGCTTTCGCATGCGAGACCGAAGTTCCTGGGTCCAAATGCCGCGTGCAGGATCGTGGATGCGCACTGCTCAATAGTCTCATACTAAAACGGAACGTATCAGGACATTATTATTATTATATTTTCAAATAATCAAAGTCTAAACTGGTGTATGTTGCATTTATTTTACAGATAAAAATATTGACAAGTCATTTTACTGTTGGCAAATCAAGATATCTCATTTTCTATCCATATTATTCACAGACAGCTATCATATTGTATACACTATTCTTATCACCTTTATCAGTCAATACTGATATATGGAAGGTCTAGAACAAGACTGTAAACTGTAGTATCCAGTTTAAATTGAACTGTGAATAGTTAACCGATGCGTTTTTTTTGTTGATTTCATATCGAATCAATGAAGAAGGCGATTTTGTGTGCTTTTTTTATTCTGATAGATTACAGATTGACGTACACGATGATGTTTTTTGTTGTTCTTGGGATTTCAGTGATGATATCCATGTTCGGTGTCGATTAGTCAATCAGTCTACTTACATGAGTAATATATCAAAAGGATCATTGTCATTATCACTGCTATAAGCAAAGTTCACTCACGGTGTTCAGGACGACGAAGTGGTCTAACATGGGTATTATAAAACTGGAGGAACAGGTGTCAAATAGCTTTTCAATACCTTCTGTCTAAACCTTTCTCAACACCTCACGATCCACAAAAGCTATTATTCATTCTCATTGGTGTATTCTCATACAGAATAATAGAATTATGCGAGAAATACAAGCAATCGAATTGATTCAGCTGTACATTATATTGATTATGGATATAGGTTGATAAAGAATATGGATCGATCGAAATTACACACTGATACCGTCGGACACTGGCTCAGTGGCATAGAAATAGAGCGTCAGCTCAGAAGACCAAAGGTCCTAGATTCGAGTTTCGTGTGTGTGATCGTGGATGCGCACCTTTGAAAATTCTCATACTAGGACGAGGCTGTTGTTCATTAATGGTCTAGCTTAGATCGACTCATGAATCCAACTGTTACAATCCAGAGAACATTCTTATGATCTCAAAAGACGAAAATCATTCAGAAGAAATTGATTTATATTAAATAATTTTTGCTATGAAAAAGTATATAGTCAGGATCAAAATATAATCCAGTTATTTTTTCGGACAGGAATCATGAGTGAGGATCAGTTCATTCAACGTTACGATAAAGCTTTCGTTATCAGTGGCATTATGTCTATATGAATATTCAAAACTCTCTTATTTATAAGCTTCTATTTGATCTATTGACTACTATCACACGATTTACCATCTTAAGGTTATCCTCAATCTGTTAGTTACAATCTCACAATCACAGCCACTTTTAGATTTATCTTGTATCATTGTTATCTTGTATTTTATGGTGTGTGATGAGGTCTAGTCTATTTGAATATAAACCAAGTTTGTCTGAAGTAAATGATTAGTGTTGTGGAGGTTTACATCGGCGTTCGACAGTAAACTGTCAAGGTTAGGTGAGAGGCTACTATCTCATTAGACAAATAAGAACTCATCATTGACTGTGAACTATTCGTACTGATTTATGGATCATTATTTCTGGTCATTCAGTCAGTGTTCTACTAATCTGATCACTAACAGACTATATGTTCAGTTCGATACACATCATTCATTCGGTAGTCTAGTTACACAAATGCACATGTACACTAATAAAAAAAAAAATTCTTTGCAAACTTGTCGAATTCATCTTTGAAATGTCATCAATGTGTAAAGATGAGAATCGATGATAGACAGGTGTTAGTAACCAAATTCTACTGATAATGGATTACCTCAATAAATAGATTATTTTGAAGGACAGATCATACCGTGAAGTTTACATGAAAGTTGAAAATCTAATATGATTTGCAAACAAACTTCATATATCATATATTAAAATCATATGATCTATGTCTAATGCGTTTTCTTACTGTGGTATTTGTCTTGCATGTATTATCTCTCTGTATTGATAAGTTGTTACGACTTGAACTGATAGACGTAAGTACGAGATTCTACGTTGGCTTTATAGTTTCGTTTAAAAATTACTATGGCATTATATAACTCGGGTAAATTTGACACTTTCCTATTATCAGGATAGGGTGTTTATGGAGATTGTGGAAATTGTCATATTTGAAATCATGAGTCGACTGAAGCTAGACCACCATGGAAAACCTGGAAGTACTGGACGGCCATTTCGTCATATAATGGGACTCCTCAGCTGTGCGCATCCACGATCCCGCACTGAAATTTCCACAAAATCCCTTCAGATTGTGTTAATTTTAATAGTTGAATCTACCGAACGGCTTCCATGTTTTCAGTGATGCTGTATTTTGGATCAACTCATGAATTCAACTTCCCTATTAATCGTACCCTATTTATATTCACACAACTTATATTGAAAACATTGAAAATTTAGTTTGTCTGAAACATGCTGCTGAAAACAATGTAAAGTGTATGGTACTCAATTTCACATTTTAGTATTTCAACATAAGATTGCAGAACGTGATAGAAAAATCATACAGTAAATACTTCATTTACAAAATATCAATCATTTATCTCAGACTTCATTGTTCCTTCTTTTGATTCCGATTCTTTTCTCCGCAATCTTCTCCATCTTCTACTACTAGACATTCTATCCCTGATCAGTGTTGTATATTACTTATGTCGACATAAATAGTACACACAACAACAATGAATATTAAAATCATCATTCAAATCATAGTTTCCTTCAATTAGGAATAGACATTCAATTAAGATTTGGTTCAGTCTATAAACTTCGGACATTTCAATCTACTATGTAAAATGATGTGTGAGTCTGATTGACCGCAGTGTGTCCGTACATCGATCTCTATTCTGTTCTCTCATTCGTTGTAAACAAAGTCAATCAATAATTTATCCATAATCCATTAACACTTATCAATATATATGGATATTCTTGATCATTCATCGACATTCACACACACACACATAGTCACTCGCTTGTTTTTCCTGAATGGTTGCTATCAGTACACTTGCGGAATGATAACAAACTTCAACAATAAACTATCTCTATAACTGATGTTCAGGCATTTGAAATAATGTTCAGTAAACCCATCATTATATTAGGAGATTTAGCCTGGATTAAATATTCAGTTAATGGAAATCAGATATAGAGGAATTCATTGTTTACGAAGTTGGCGATCCACCGTTGGAACGTGCACCATCACTCTACAAGTATGTTTCATATTCTCCAAACACATTGGAATAATACGATTACTATTATTAGCAATTCATTCACCGTCATAATATTTATTCATTCATAACATTGTTACATTGGAATTCTATCAGTCTATTCGCATATTTGTACTTCTAAATGACAGTTGACTATATTATTCCGTGAGTCTCTCACATATAATTCTTGTTGTTGTTATTGGTTATTTCTTCATATTGTACATGTCAATGCACAGCTTAATATTATTGGTACTGTTATTATTTCTTTGTATGATGTCAGTCGATAATTCACCAAGCCTTTCATGTAAGTCTATTTGCATGAATGCGACCTCGTACCTTTACCTGTTTTTAACCGTCGAAAAGTAGAACTCTGGTTTTCACTCTTAGAAAGCTTTATTGTTACAAACAGAATCACAAGTCTGAACACGAAATTTGGTTAGTCGAATTGGTTGATGCCGTATGACGTTATTGAGCAATTGCTTGACATCATTTTTAAACCGGATCGTGACTCGCCATACGATTGTTTAAAAAGAGAGGTCATACGTGTTAGATCTCTTTCTCTGACTCACGTTTCCAACTATGAAAATACTGAATCTGCACGAAAACCTCTTCTAATTATAATAATCATATGCTCACTAGTGACTGATTTCGAGAGATAAATCCTGGAGTTCTAGTGAAAAGCAGTGACCAGTGGAGTTCAAACCACATCTGTTGTGAGATAGTAACTCACCGAACACAATTAGTGAACGGTTGCTCAACATCGTGGATTGGTTGATGTTACAAATTAACACCATCGGATGCCGCCTCAGAGGTCTATCTATTAAGTTCTCTTGCGTGGAACTGTTATGTCCTGGGTTAAAAACTCGCGAGGCGAGGTGTTGGATGCGCACTGCTGAGGAGTCCCATAATAGGACGAAACGGCCGTCCAGTGGTTTCAGGTTTTCCATGGTGGTCTAGCTTCAATTGACTTACGCTTTCAATTATATATAAAATTACTAAAACGCTCCACAAAAACCCTTTCAAATTTGATATAGTTCAATTTATGAGTGCATGTAAAAGTAGATCATCATTGAAAATCTGAGGAAATACGAATAAGTACAAGATTACAATGAAGGTGCCACAGGTATGGAAAGTTTGACAGTGCTTTAACATCCAACAAGTGAAATCAAAAGACAGAAGTGAGGAAGTTCGAAGAAACATTTGATAGATTCACGTGTTATTTTTTGTTTGGATCTTCCCATTGATGTTTAGGACTGCAATTGATCAGTCTCTTAATGCAATATGCGCATACTGTGCTTATTGCCTCGATATAGCAAAAATGAATAGTGGCTAGCAGTGGAATCCAGGACACACGTTTCATCCCATATGTTATTTGTCAGAGTTCACTCTGGGACTCGAACCCAGTACCTTTCGCTTTAAACGTCATCGCGTTATCCACTCAGCTACAGAATCCTGACAGCCACTTGTGAACATCAACTCTGAGATCCAGGTACATCTATATGATGAGTACCAAATAGGACGAAACGCACGTCCTGAATTTCACTGCTAGCCACTATTCATTTTTGCTTATATATTTGATAGGTTATTGATATATTGTGGATCGACTAATCTAATCTGTCTAACGATTACCGAGGATGTACATTGTAATATGCAAATAGTTAGAAATGTAAATCTTTTCATGAATTCACATGTGCTTGTGGTATCAAGAATACGAGAAGTAGTAAAAGAGAGCTTTGTTCTAGGATTCTAGTGTATGTGCCTCTACCTGAAAGGTGATCTTCATAGGTACAATCATCATGTATCAGATGGTTAATGAATATAAATACTTTTCAATTTCAATTGTTTATGAAAAGAATTTTTATTTTCATTACCTAAATAAAGCTGTTCTGCCTTGAATGTCTACTCTTACAACATACAAAACTGCATCTATAGTAACTACGGTTAAATGCAGATTTTGCGTTTACTTTCTTATAATGACTACCAGTCCTGTTTCAAATGTACAACTTAATCTCAATGAATAGATTATGTGACAACATTAAACATAATTAGTTCGCTTCTTGTAATCCTAAGTTGTTTGTAATGGATGAATGCCTTGTAATGGACAAGAATACCAGTTGGGATAATTGAATGTATTTGAATACAAAAACGCAGAGTTTCTAAATGGAATCTGAGAATCACACTGTAAAATCTTCATTTGAGAAATATCAATCAATTGTCTCAATCTTCATTGTCCCTGAATTTTCATATCAATTATTTTGTGTTTCCGTTCTTTCCTTCCCAATCTTCTGCTGAAATACATCCTAATTCTGATTATCGTTATATACTACTTACGTGGATATAAGTAGCCCACACCATGGCTTCAGAGCGCAATGGATTCACTCAATTCTGTAAATCTTCATTCTTTCCCTCATATTGTGATATGTATATACTCTGTAACCACAATCAAGAATGTCAAATAATGAATTCGAGATCGAAAGAACTGGGTTCCAGTCACACATGTTGGAGTCCCATAGTGGGAGATCAAAACGACTGTCTAGTACATTCAGGTTTTCAAAGATAGTTTAACATTGATTGATTCATAATCTGAATAAGCACTTACCTGCATTTAATAAAACTACAATATATACTATTATGTACATGATGCAAAATATTGTTTATATTCACTTCATGAAAACACTTGAATGATTAAAACAAAGAAGAAAGATACCACTTATATTTTTTTTGACATATTACTTACTCAGACATGAATGAATACAAAGGGTATTGTATTTGATCTTTTAAAACGAATGACCATTTGACTAACGAAACAAGGCATTCCTTATTCAATCATAGTGAGATGACTTTGGACTTAGAATCTCTTGATTGGTAACAAGTGTAGTTATACAATAAAGTTTGTTGAAAAATACTAAATATTCATCAATTACTTGTTGGTTGAATTAGAGAATTCAATTGACTTTTCATTGTTTCAATTAGCTTACCGACAATGAACAAGATAGATATGGGTTAATTTGTATGGCGCTCCTTTGATTTCTTTTGATTGATCATCTTACTTGTCATTTGTCTCAAGTATTCGAGCTACATGATTGTCTTTCATAAATTGACAAATTCAAGATGTAGAATAAGACATCTAGAATTATTGATGCGGTAGAAACTAGCTGAGAAGCACTTTTCTCATGTAATTGATCAAAGCTCTTACTTGAAACACATTAGCAGGATGAATCTATAACTCAGTGATGATGTTCACTTCAAGTGTCAAAAAAGTCAGGAAAAAACCCACATGTACTCGATTCCCCTATTAATCGTATTCCATCTAGTTTACATAATAGAAGCTGTTTAAGATATTTCATATGTTTACACTCGAGGAGGTAGTGTGATTAGTGTACAAGATAATCGTCGGCTACTGGTTGTATCTAATATATAGGAATATATTAGATAATGGTATTCGTACAGTCGCCGACTAACTTCACGTTTTATTTCTTATTATAATGTGGATATTTGTTACTTCATATGTTTTAATGAAACGATACATAATATGGATTCCCTTAACAATTATGATTAATTATAATAACTTATGTTTGATTCAGTTGATGTTGTTTACTTATATCTTCGCATTGTTATTTTGCACTGCAATTGATTAGTCTTTTGTTAGCATGTATGCATCCTGTGTGGACTGCCTCGATATTACCTGAAGTCACAAGCTCCATAAGGAAGGATGGATAGTGGCTAACAGTGGAATTCAGCCTGTGCATTTCGTCCCATTTGAGATTTGTCAGATGAATGTGCCTGTATCTCAGAGTTGATGTTCACTTTGGAACTCGAACCCAGTACCCTTCTCATCAAATGCTATCATGTTATCCACTCATCTACTAAGTCCTCAGTCATTAATTCTATACATAATTATTTACGGAAATAACATATCAAATCAACGATCATATTTATTATCATGTTAGCATTTTTTTAAAAAACGAACCCTTATGCGTATACATATCGTTAGTTTTTGTAGTAACTCCCTTCCGAGTTCAACTAAACCAAAAAGATGACATTGACGAATAACGTCTTTGTAATAACATTCAAAGTACATTCTGTAAACCTCTTGAAGTCCATTCTTCTGGGTTGTATACAGACCTACTATAACTCTACTTCTCAATTGCCGTAGAATGATACATTACAGTTTGGCGACTACCTAAGAAAGTACTGTGTCGACACTCAGTATTCCTAATATAATAGAACACAGTCATCAAATCTGTATGAAAAGTATCTTCATAGCAGAAATTAGGGAAGCTCTTTCTTAAAAATTGGCCCATCTTAACTTGTTTTTATTGGAGCAACGATTGATTTATTGTGTACTAGCAAACAAGATGGTTGTTGTGAGGTGCTAGTCAGTAAACAAGTAGCCATTTCATTACCAATTTCCAGCGCATCATCGAGAAAATGAAATTCTACTTTCGTATTATGATGAATTGTTTTTCTCCCAATTCTATGGTGTGGTTTACCTATATCCACATAAGAAGTATGTAACGAAGGTCGGGCATCGAATGTATTTCAGTAGAAGACAAATAAGGAAGGAACGAAAAGAAACGCAATTGACTATGGACTGATATTTACAGAATAAATGGTTAACATGGAGACAATTGATTGATAGTTTGCAACTTAACTGTCTAGACGTTCGTATGACTTTATAAAAAGATAGATGTATGACAACTTGTTATTGATTCTTTGTTAAGTTTTTTATCATGTGAATTATTCATTAATGGAAATACGACTTTTCCGATCTTAACAATATGATAAATCTATGACATTCAACTGGTATGAATAGTATAGCGTCCTTTATCCGCCTAGTCCTTCCAATTGAGTCTAGAACACCAGTTACAGCTTCTGCTTTGCGAATCATTTATTTCAAGCATACTCGGTTTATATACCACACACACAGACCGCATCACACTATAAAATAGAAAATAATATTTGTACAAGATCAAGCAAAATGTGCCTGTGAATGTGGGATACAATAATCAATAAAGTGAATATAATTCAGGAAGAGTAAATCGTAAAGATAGAAAGATAGATAGAAAGATGAAGAAGTCAGAAGATTAGAATTTAGCAGAACACAAAGAGTGGATGCACCTTCGCTATTACAAACGATTTTGAGCCATATCATTGCTTGCTACCATCTCGCGAATCCCAACCAGGTAGTCTACACCTACCATCATGGCTCAGTTCAATTGTCAGTAACTTCATGGATTTATGCCATGTTTTGGTCTGGCCGCCCATAGATTTCGTCCAACCTACTGCTTTACCATAGAACATTGCACGTCGGGACAGTCGGTGGTTGAGCATACGTAACACGTGTCCTAGTCATCTCAACTGATGAAGTTCCACTAATTCATTTACATCAAGAATGTAAATTACCAAAATCTATGAATTAGAAAGAAAAGCAACAAATATATTAGTATTCTAATTCATTAGAATATCTCATCGAGTCAAGTATGTACATAGTGTTGTGTCAATCAAACGCCGATTTCAATACTAATACACAGACTTCCTATAGGTTTGTTCTCAAGCCAGATACTACAGTGAGGAAACCATATTCGTTGTAAGAAGTTTCATTGGTCAACCAAATCGTCGAATATGTTTACAATGATTCATATGAATTTATCTTGTCATTCAGCCGCTATAGTCGAATGTTCAAGCAATGACAAGTAGTTTTTTTCTTAAAAGTGAAAGCCGTTTGCGTGTACTTATCACTTTATTGATATTTGATTGACCCACTAAATCAAGTAGAAGCGATCTCTCTTGGATGATATAATAGAAAAGTGCATGACAATACTTTACTTTTTTGATACGTATTACACTTGGAAATGCCACTAAACTCACTCTTGATCTGTACTAACTAACATAACAATATATAATTAGTTTGATGATTTCGGCAGAATATAATGTGAAAAGTGATAATGATGCTTCCAACATCGTTTGAAATTTACAGAACACAGGTGTATATATCAAAGCACAGAATTCAGGCAGAGTAATTGTTACATGCGTTACATTTGGTGAAGATCTTCAAGTTCAATGGTATACTTCGATGTAGGTATTTGTTGTTTAGTAACAAATGAATATAGAACTTTTCGTGAATCATATGATCTTAGTAGTATTTAAATACGAAGTGGTTTTAGATGAGTGCCGGAAATCAAGAAGCACTAGACAGTTGCAATTCCTAGTATGAGGTCTACCAGCATTGCTGAAATACAAGCACGACAAGGAGAGTCGGAGACAAGACCACTTGACCGGTAACCCCATATAAGGAATAAGGGAATGGCAGTCTAATGTCTATCAGTTTTCAATTTCATCATATAGGTACTAAATTGTTTCAGTAGAAAAACGAAAAATACACGATACAGAACAAATAAACCGGGTTGTTTACACATTAGTACACTCGTGTCCTACCAAAGAATTACTGGTTATGTTATCTGGAATCGTTTTTGTCACCTTTCTCACCTATGAAAGTGTTTCTCAGCTAATTCTGAACACAAAGACATGATGTACATTCTACAATACGGTGGTTTTTATATCGTATATATTCCTAATTAATGTTTCAATGTTTAGCTTACAAGTAAATAACTCGTGATGTGCCGTGTTCATTAGTTGTTACTGATATACAATCTTCCCATACACGAGTACATCCGGCTACCCTCGTCAAAGAACTGATATTCATAAAGGACATAACTAATATACAACACTTATCAGGAATGGAATGTCTAGTAGTTGAAGATTGAGGAGTAAAGAAAGAGAACCAAAAGCAGAAACAATGAAGTCTGAGAAAACTGATTGACATTATTCAAATGAAGTATTTACAGTATGGTTCTCAGATTTTGCTAAGACGTTCTGCAATTTTATGTTCATATACAGTCGATTGTCTCCACTTGTGTTCTACTTCACTACAATATATCTGGTGTGGCCTCGTTATTAAATAGATGAAAAGAGTAACAGACATCTATGTTTCTTGTTAACTGTCTACCCAATGCTCAAATTATTTGAAACTCTCAAGTCAAAACATAGCGTTTGACATCTGTAATTGGATGTAAACCAACTAACAATATGACTGTAGATAATAGTGTAGTGAACGAGAACACCAGTGAGGACAACCAAATCTATGAACCATACAGTTAATATTTCATTTGCAAAATGTCAATCAATCGTCTCACACCTCATTGTTCATTATCTGTTCTCGTTCTCTTCTACTCGATCTACATAACCTTCGGCCTCCAGATATTTCACTTCCGATTGATGGTGCATACTACAGATATCAACAGATATCCGTAGCACACACCACACTCAAACCCTGCTCTAGAAAGCATTTAGTTAAACTCATCTGTGTTCTCGTTCACTACAGAATATTCGTCAATGATTAGTTGAAATTTGCTGATCACTTTACTGTTTATTGTAGTCACATCTTGGAAGTAATTGTTCCTATTGTTGAAACTATTAAATGGGAAGGAGTCAATGTCATGAAACCTGTTGATCGTCTACGTGTTGTATCCACATACACCAAAACAGTAGATTGTACTTTATCATTGAAAGTCATTCACAATTATAGGTGCTTATACTTAATGCAATACAAATATCAATAACATTTGTCATCATAATACTCTCGTCAATACAGTAAATTATTGAACCAATGTTGATATTTGTCTTTATGTAGTGGAATAGAATTAGCGAACAAAAGCCAACTTATACGGTCCATTGTAGCTGGTGTATTCCTGTACGTTTTGTCATTTATCGTCAAATTTTTCTCCGTGTTGTATTTAGAATCTTGCTTTTTTCTTTCTTTTTGTTGAGGCTTGTTGATGCACAGGCTGCTGCTACATTTGCTGTCTTCATCTGCAATTGTTCGTGTGTTTGAGATAGGGGGGCTAGGTCATCCGCGAAGTTCAATTCATCCAACTGATTCTGAGATTTCCATTTTATTCCGTGCTAAGGCACAGATGTCGAAGTCTTCATAATCCAGTCAATCACCAGCAAAAAAGAGAAAGGGTGAGAGTAGACAGCTTTGTCTGACTCCGGTCGTTATAATATACTGAAATTTATGTTTGTCAAACAACTATTCAGCTGAATAACAGAAACATAAAATTGATTGGATTCATTCGGTATTGTTCACTTGAATCTTTCTGTTGAATGTTTCTGTCAAAGCACATATGTGAAGTCGTTTATTTTAGTCAGTGTTTTTATATCAAGGCTGTTTTTTATGATATGAAGTTGTCAATCCGACACTCGAACCTCCAACTTTGACCAGATTTGATAGCATCAGTAGCTGTAGATAAGCTACAGTTCCAGTTAAACATGTTATGCTAAACAGTTATTTCTATATTACTTTGTAGTTTGATTGCATTGTTCATAGCACTATTGATTCTTCTCGTGAAGAAGATCAGTGAGAAATATCCACTGAATGTCGTGTTTGTAATTATTTATGTAAGAATTTCTAATGATCATTTCACATACATCTGCCTATTTTCTTTCTAAAAATCTAATTTAATAAAAGGTACTGCTTGTAGATCATTATCCAACGTGACTGATTTTTATGTCATAGAAGAACTATGTGAAATCGGAATCCTAACTGATTTACAGATTGATTGAAATCTTTGATTTGTCGACATTGATATCTTAGACGTCTCACTCATAGTCATTGTGTAGTGAACAGAACGCAGGTAGACCAATTCGAATGCATTCCAACTTAAAATTACAGTCGATCTTCGCTGATTTCATTGTTCATTCATTCTCATACCGATTTCGCTTCGTTCCTATTCTTTCATTATTGATCTTCTGCCACTATGCATTCTATGTCTGACCATCATTATATACTACTTATATATATATAAGTAACCAATACTACAATATTACCTTTGTTGTAATTTACAGAGATCATGTTTTCGAAGAGAACACTTTCGATATATCAGTGAACTAGTTGTGTCAAATTCGAGATAGCCATTTTGAGCGGAAGAATTCATACATTATCAGCATCAATATACAATATAATCATATATGAATGAATATATATTCCGTCAAATTATAATTTTCCTTCTCATTTTTCAGTCTATTTTCATGGCGATGGCGTTGGCAGTTTGGAATTTACAGTTAGATGTTCTTTTCAAACTTGCAATCTTTGGAATCAGTTTGGTGTTGTTCACATCTGCATTACTGATTGGTGCAGCGATTAAAGCAGATTCGGTCGATCACTTAATAAATATTCTAATATCCTTTTTGGTTATATCTGTTGTAATTGCCGTAGTCGGGGCTGTGCTCTGTGTTTTGAAATACAAGGTATCCTAATTAGCTAAATAATCTGATTCATAAATTACGTAATCATGATTGAATCTAGTTCCAAATCGTAAACTATTAACTGGAATCTAGTTCCGATCCAACATTTTTTAAACATTCGGATTCTGAGTAAAATCAATCAATAGTCGAAAGTATCATGTTAGTTGGACTTCGAAATTTCTATTGC